ACAGCAATTATTTTAAATACTCAGAAATCTTATATTCGTCTGTCTATATGCATATTTTATTTCTATTTAATATAGCATTATATAGAAGCGTTAGATCCCCGTGGAAGAACACCACTTATGCTCGCAGTAACCTTGGGTTATTTAGAATGTTCTCAAATTCTTCTTGCAAATAATGCTGATGCAAATGCTTCTAATGCTGAAGGATGGACGGTTGTGCAAGAAGCTGTTGCAACAGGTAATACAATTGAAAGTCATATATTATATTGTTATTAAATTATATTTGTTAATTAGTAAATAATTATACCCAAGTGTATCTTAATGATCTATTTTTTAAGCAATAATAAAAAATTGCTCAATAAACACTTGTGTTCAAATATAGGTGATCCAGAAATGTTATCTATGGTATTGGAACAACGTGATATTCAAAGACATAGCAGTAGAGTAGGAGATATTCCCAAGTTATTACAAATGTTGAAGGATGTTCCTGATTTTTATATAGAGATGAAATGGGAATTTACCAGTTGGAGTAAGCTGTAACTGTTCTGAATTTATCATAACATAATTAATTTATTTCCACTGGTTAATTTTAGTGCCACTGGTGTCTCGTATGTGCCCCAGTGATGTATATAGAGTTTACAAGCAAGGATCAAATGTTCGAATAGATACAACTTTGCTTGGATTTGATAACACAAACTGGCAGCGTGGTGATAGGTCATATATATTCAAAGGAGAAGGTAACTTTATATTACTTTGGCATAAATGTTTTAGATTATTATTAAAGTTACATTATAAAAACCTATACCTTTTAGATGATGTTGCAACATTGATGGAGATTGACCATGAAACTTGTACTGTAGCTTTAGAAACTCTCAGAAGTTTATCACCAGATGCAGCAAATGGAGCTTTAATACCTTCTGAAGATATATTGTCAGCCAGATTAACTGCACCCATCTGTACAAATCATATTGATACAGATAAAATAAGCTTTGAAAGGTAAAAATTTTTAATTACATTGCCATTAAGTGAATAAATATTATAAACAGCTGTTTTAAATGTAATATGAATTGTTAGAAACAAAAGTGGAATTTGGGGCTGGCGATCAGACAAGGCAGAAATTGTGAACGGGTACGATTGCAAGGTGTTTGGAGCAAGTAATGTAGAATTTGTAACAAGAACACGTACTGAACATCTTTCTGAGATAGACAAAATTAAGGCAAGTTTTTGATATTTTCACATTGTATTTACTTAACTATTTCTATTCTTAAATTTAGGCTACTACTATTTTTTTTAGGCTAGGAGTCCAAAATCACCTTTTCAGAATTTACTTGGACTAGCAGAAAATGAAGAACCAACTGCATCTGCAATTGCTGAAGAAGAGCGAATTCACAACAACACAAGTGAGATTTACGAGTATTTTCCCAATATCAAACTCTTTAATGGAACATTTTTTACATTTTGTATGTAATGTTTATAAATAAATATATTTTACCTTTAGATGTGTCAAACATCACAGCTGAAGAATATTTTTCTCAAGAAGATTTAATGGGCAGAGACATTGGTAGACCGAAAGAAATGACAACAAAAGTAAAAAAAATAGCAGAAGTACTTTTGTATATAATACATGTTAAAAATTTATCACAATTTTAGGTGCAAAAGTTTAGGGCAACTTTATGGCTTTGTGAGGAATATCCATTGCAATTGCAACAACAAATAATGCCAATACTAGATTTGATGGCCACAATGGCTTCACCTCATATTAATAAACTTAAAGACTTTATAACAATGCATCTTCCAGCAGGGTTTCCTGTTAAAATAGGTAATTATTAGATTATTAGATTATTTAGCATTAGGTAATTTGTGATCTTATGAATTGCATTTACAGAAATACCATTATTCCATGTAATAAACGCTAGAATAACATTTGGCAACATATTTGCCTTAGAAACACCAGTGAATAATATAAGTCAAATTAAAGAAGAATCACAAATAACATGTATTGTTGGAGATGAATGCTTTGTGGCACCACCACATTATGTAAAAATAGGTATGAATTTAAAATTGTATTTTACATGTAAGATATATTTAAATAAAAATTGTAATGTTAGAGAATATGAATATGAAATAAAATACTTTAGGACCTGGAGGACGAAGGCAGCACAGCTTTGAAGACGAAGATGATCTTTTACAATATGCTATTCAACAAAGTCTAATTGAAGCTGGCAGTGAAAATGATCAGGTTGATATTTGGGAGGCACTTAGAGGCCAAAGACCAAATTCTCCGTCCAATAATGTAGAAGATGAAGAGAAAGAATTACAAAGGTAAACTAAAGTTATTATAAATCAACAATTGCAAACTAGAATGGATAGCATGTTTAACTAGTTATATATAGTAAATAAATGGAGATGTAGAGAGAATTAAAAGCCAAACTTGCAATTATCAATTGTCGTTTTTTGGCAAATATCATTGCTTTCTTTGAAGGTAAAGAGATAAAATATTTCTGAATCTATTGTATGAAAATATGAATCAGAACTTAATCTGCATGTAGGAATTAACAGCAGCCCTCTTTTGGATCTATGTTATTATTCTAGCATGGTATAAGGTGTATGTGCAACAAGCATGCGTGTGCATTATGATTTAATGAGTCATATAAAAACTATAATTTTTGGAATTCAAGGGCAATACAAGAGAGTTTATCTAGGAGTGCAGTACAAGTAACATCAGAAGAAAATATACCACAAGATACTGCTGACAGTGATTTGGAATTGGCATTATTATTAAGTCAACAGGCTCAGAGTGACTTAGAAAGAGAACGCCAAAGAGAACAGCAAATTCTACAAGAAATTTTAGAATTATCACTAACGGAGAAATAGTGTATGATATTTAAATATATATCATGTGCATCAACAACCCACTGCAATCCCATATTTATTTTAAAATATACATGCTGCTGCCGAGTTTTAATGGTGAAATAGAAATATATAAAAATAATCAATTCATAAGACTAATATATATAAAGTATTTTGAATGTAGTAATCAAACTTGTTAATTTTTGAAATACAAAGTTTTATATAAAGATTAATTTATTATTTGCATAGCTGCAATAACATAACAAATGAGAAGTTTGTGATGACAGAAAACCGATATAAATAGAATATGAGAATTAAATAAATAATTATAATTTTTTAAGATACAAACATTGCAAGTAGCTTCATAAAATATTTTTTAATTAATTATGTACATTATTTATGACTAATATGAAATATATTTAAAGAGAAGCTAACACAGCAGCAAATACTGTAGCAACGGCAAGCATTGCATAGCCAGTTGAGTAAACTTCTTTAAGTGTTAAAAACTTAGCTGCATCCCAAGCAAGATGACGAACGCCATTGACCATATGGTATGCAAAAGGATAAGCTAACACAAACTTAATGGCCATTAATGATGGAGCACTAAGTTGCAAACCTAAAACATACAAAATCTAAATATTTCTGATACATTTGAATAATTTGCTTTCTCATGATAGATATATGGCATTAATTTAGATAACAGAGTAAATTCTAAAAATACCTTCAATCATAGTGGCATAATGATTAAAGTCATGGGGCATTACTAAAGCACCGAGACCCAGAACTACTGCATAACCAGTTAAGGCTATTCCTGTCATTCGGTGAGTGATGGAAAGAGTACTTGTTAACTGAATCTCGTAAATAGTTAAATGTGGTGATTGCGGTCGATTGAGACGCATATTACGTTCATCATGAGATTCTAAAGCAGCAGGTTGAGCTTTTTCTGCCCTGATAACGACACAACGCGAGTTGACATTTGTAATCTTCGGTATATTTCTCAAAAGACTTATTTGATTTCCAAGATTTCTACTGCACAAGCCTTTAGCTAATTGCAAAGCCATCTTGCTAATTGCTAACGATTTATGTTAAAACTGCAAAATAGATCCAGTTACACAATAGAAATGTCAATTGTTAACAGTATTGCCATTATGGATGACATAAGATTCGATCGCTCTGTTACCGAACCTGCCTAGCGGGAGAGGAAATATTTCAAATACAGAAGTATGGCAAGTGATTCAAGTGCATTTCAAATCCCTTCTTGAATTACAAATTGGAAAATGCATTTTTATTCTTAGAATATGTTGTATGAAATCGAAACATGCAAAAGACTTGAATCTAATAAGAAAATTCCTATTAGATTCTGGTCGTTTGAACCAATGATCTGACCTTTAGCTGGGACCTGCGTCGTCTTCTGTGGCACAACACTCACACACTAACTCCTAGACAATATAATAATATAATAATAACACTAACCACTCACACTGATTCGTTTGAGCGCTTATGCCAATGCCCTACAAACACCAACCCATATCATTATATTGTCTAGGACTCTTACTAACTGTGACCAGCGTAGGATTAGAGGGGTGGGGACAGGTGTAATCTGTTTGATAACCTTTCAGGCAACAATATTCATTCTGGCCTTCCGAATTTTCTGCGTCTTAAAACGCTTTTGCCTCCCGATTTTTTTACTATCTTCCCCAATTTACACCAGCAGTTATTAGAAGTACTTACTCCGCATCTAAGGCCTCTAAAGAGGCTCTCTAAATGTGAAATAAGTCAATTCAATTAGAGAAAGATATGAATAATAGCATATAAATCAGATTTAATTAAATAATTTGCAGTATTTTAATACTACTAGTTTTATACGTCACATACACTATTGAAATAATTAAATGTGAATTATGTCATCCTATTATTCTTATTAGATCCTATCTGGTTAGAAACTTTAAAATAAGTTTTATGAAATATTCAAAGATATCTTCCATGGATTTTTAAACAAAGTTTTGGCTGTATTATTTATTCAAATTTTCAAAGATCTATGGATTTTATTTGGATTTGGATATTATCTTAATTAAATTTTAAAAAATACTTATTTTATACTTATTTATTGTACAACCTTTAGATTTGAAAAAATCAAAATTATTTCTACAATTTTATTTCTCCAATAAATACATATAATACAGTTCTTCATGTTCTTTATTATCAAATTGTGGAATAAAATTTATCTTAAATATTTCTGCAAAACCTTCACTTAATGTTGGTTCAACAAAATTTTTTCTGGAATATAATTATAAAAATATATATTTTATTTAATTATTTTGATATTTTAAAGCATGTTGATCATACCTATAAGAAAACAGTATCATATCTTTAATTTCCTTATGTGTTTTATCCGTTAATTCTCTGAATATATTATTATGTCTGCAATGATCAAAACTTGTTGTCATAACACCGCAACGAACTTTTACTTTTCCAGCCGCAACAATGTAGCGGTTGCGAGATTCTTTATCTGCATTTGTATTATCCACAACCACACTTTTGCCATTCTATTTCCATTAATTTCAATTGATTACCCAAATCAAAATATACTATCAGCATTTCATGTTTCATTTATATCATTACAAATACCTGCAAAGCATTCTTCATTGCTGCAACACATTTTTGCCAACTGCCCAATGTATCACGATTTACATGAACATATCCAGATTGTACAAGTTCTTTGCTGATGAAAGATTTTCCGGACCCTGGACAACCCACTAAAACAATAACCTATAATCATATATATCATATTTTATATTTAAATTCTAGAATTAACTATATAATAGCACAAATAAATTCTTGAACATTGAGCATTGATAAAATAAGCTTATTATTAGTTGTTGCTCTTATTACCTCTTGTTCACTTTGAATTAGTTTTGCATTAGGTGGGTCAAATCTAGAAATATTCAAATTTTTTAAGGAGGGAGGATCAAATCCTGGTTTATTCCACTGTACTACTTTTGCTTTCTAAAGAATTAATAGATAAAAAAAATCAATAACTGTACATAAATGAATTAATTATATTCCATTTTGAATTATTACTTCAAAGTGTTCTTCAGGTGTGTAAAATGCAATTCCCAGATTTTTTGCCATTAATCTATCTGCAGCAGAAAAGTCTTTCTTTTTGCCAAGTGCCCATTTATCTGGTCTACCAGCTGCATCACCACAATAAAAACAATCTGCTTTGGATACAGAAACTCCACAATTTTTCTAGATCCAAGAACATATAAGTATGAAATAAATAAATTATGTTGTACTATAAACCAAATTTACATTACTATACCTGTTCTGTCAGCACTTTCCACATACCAGTAAGTGGTTTTCTGTAAATTCCTTTTGTGGTTGAAATAAAAACTTGCATTGGAACATTTAACTTATTTAAAATTGCTTCAACCTTGCCCTGTAAAAAGTATAAAAGTAAACTGGAGAAATTGCAAAGTACATGAATTAAAAAATCAATAGGTCAACATTTTTAAAGTCATCTATATATATAGATGTGTCAAGTCCTTAAATTATTCAATATTAAATGTTATTATTTACTAGATACCCATGCAGTTACCTTAAATTCTTTGGGGTCAGTTTTTCCTTTACCAATGCCAGCTTGGTTAGTAAATATAACAAGCTTGTATCCTTGTGTTTCCAATTCCTTCAAATGTTTTGGTATTTGTTTAAAGGCTATTTGCCAGTCATCTTTATTCTTTGCAAAAACTAGACCAGATTTTGTTTTAATAAGCGTACCATCCAGATCGTAAGCAGCTATCTAGTAAAAATATTTATTAATAATATTAATTGAAATACCAGACAAAAAATTGATATAATAAATATAATTTTATTTTATTTTATTTATTTCTCATTTAAATTAATTAATTAAAGAGCAGTATATAAAACAATTTTATTTTCAGTATAATTACCTTTGAACTGGCAGTGACCCCTGATTTTGTAAAAATCAACAACTTTCCATTACTCACATCTTCCCATGTATCTTGAGTAATCTCTAATGTAGTGTTGCAATCACCTTTTTTTACATTACTTTGTAAGCTTACATTATGAGTTTTAAATTTTTTAGTTATCCCATTTGTGTCTTCAGAAGATCTTGGCCTTTTATCATTTTTTGATTGAGAACTATTTGATTTTACATCAATATCAGATTTTACAGCATCTTCATTCTCGATTTTAATTGTACCGTCACTTAGATAAATTGGTTTTGGTTCAAAAGTTATTTCATAAACATATTTTCCAGTAAGAAGTTCAATTTTTGCTAAATGCTTCAATTTATGGTTTTCATTTCTTTTAATTTCGATACCAGCTAATGCAGATGAATTAGGACCGATTTGTTTGAAATTGACTGTAGCTGTTTTGTAATCAGCTTGTAAAGACACTGAGAATATAGGTTGTTTATATAATCAAATAAGAGTTTTATATACAAAACGCTTTTAAATAACCCAAACTAACCTTGCTTTCTTGATAACTGTACATCGGTAATATTTGTTGTAGGACAACGACCAATAAAAATTTCTTGTCCATCAGTTAATAAAATAGGCGGATGTAAATTTTTCACACACTTCAAAAAGCAAGACTTTATATTAACCATATTTATTAAAAAGTAAAGAAATGGTTTGTATATGATTCAAATTGACAAGCATTTTTAATTTATTTACAAACAAAAATGGACGCCACTAGATGACATAACCATGTTTATGAAATACTTGTTTATCTATGGACATAACTTCACTATAAAAAAAGAGTGCGCGTAAGGATCACACGCGATTGAAGTAAAACTTTTAATATTGTATGAGTAGGCAATTAAGATAAAAATAAAAAAAACATCATATTTGAATTTTAAAAATCATCTTTTAATAATCATATAACATCAATAATAATAAGATCTCCTGAGCATCGGCACAGCTGTCCTACTGATATTAAGAGTTTGAATATGATGTGAAGCTTTCTTCCTAATTTTGTTACCTATCTTACCGGGAAATTCAAACCATAAACGTAGAAGTTCATCATTATCGCCACGTTCTATGTACACTAATTTTCCCACACAACCATTAGCTAAGCCATCACTTACATCAATATTAGTTGTTATTATGTAAAATTTATTCAGAACTAAAATTATTTCATACGGCAAAGCCCCGGTATCAATAACCGATTTTTGTGAAACTGCTGACGAATGTATGATTGTTGATCTGTCGCATGGCAACCTACATAAATATCCGTGGCAGTAGATATTATTTTGTCTTCAACGAGATTCAGTATAAATTTATTATATTCCATGAAACATTTATTCTCTAAGAAAAGTCTTATTCCATGAGGACATAATACAGCAACCTCTTCTTTTGTAAAAAAAAAAAGAGTGCGCGTAAGGATCACACGCGATTGAAGTAAAACTTTTAATATTGTATGAGTAGGCAGTTAAGATAAAAATAAAAAAACATCATATTTGAATTTTTAAAATCATTTATTAATAATCACATAACATCAATAACACAGTTTAAAACAACAACGATAGATTAATTGCTATCATATTTCATATATGATATAATAGGTTTGTGATAACTAAAATGAGAGACATAAATTTTGCTTTGTAAACTATGTACATTTCTGGAGAAAACTGCATCAATAGTCGAGCCATATCTTGTGGTTGAATCAAATGGAGAATTATTCATTGTTAAATTGAATTTATTATTTAAAAAATCAATTAATGGTTGAGATTCTTCTGAACGAAAATTGACATTGAAATTTCCAGCAAGAATTAATGGTATCTCGTTGTGATTAGTGTTTAAAAGTTTTGCACCCTCATTAGAAAAATGAAGTAACTGCTGATGAAGAAATTCAATAATATTTGATATGTTTTTATTGGGAGAAATTTAAAGGACGACTATAATTAATGTTTGATTCTGTGTGTGTAATATCACCTACTTGTGTAATTTCATTAGGAATATCCAGTAATATCGTTGGCGCAAGAAACTGCATAGGAGTGGCATTATGAACAGTATCTGAACATGAATGATAGACATTAGACAGCTACACCACCTGCTCTGAGTTTGATCGTTTGTATTGAGTAACGCAGTAATAGTTCTGAATATTAATTCGTTCTTCATTATTAATCCAAGTTTCCGAAAATAACAAAAACGTACAACGTTGTAGCATTTATCTTGCAGATCAGGCAAATGAGCTCGTAAACTTTGGCAGTTTAAGGAAAACAATGAAATGTCGTTCAAACTTATTATCTCACTCAATTTTCTTCTTGTGTTATTAATCTACAAGTTGAAAGTCTTTGGAATTCAGTTTTTAAGTCCATTAATCCTGCTGGCCGTTTTCTTCATTATAAATTTTTTGTCGTTGTTTTAGAAATGATGAACAATCCATTAATGTGGTAACTCGTGATAATGCAACATATAGAAGCTGCTGATTATGTGTTTTATTGTATTCATATACAATTTTATCAAAAGTACCACCTTGTGATTTGTGTATTGTGAGTGCACAAGCAGACACTAAAGGAAAATGATTTCTTTTGACAAATATGATTTTATTTCTATTCATTGGAATAGATGAAGATTTCCTGAGAATCGGCACAGCTGTCCTACTGATATTAAGAGTTTGAATATGATGTGCAGCTTTCTTCTTATTTTGTTACCTATCTTACCAGGAAATTCAAACCATAAACGTAGAAGTTCATCATTATCGCTACGTTCTATGTACACTAATTTTCCTACACAACCATTAGCTAAGCCATCACTTACATCAATATTAGTTGTTATTATGTAAAATTTATTCAGAACTAAAATTATTTCATACGGCAAACCCCGGTATCAATAACCGATTTTGTGAAACTGCTGACGAATGTATGATTGTTGATCTGTCGCATGGCAACCTACATAAATATCCGTGGCAGTAGATATTATTTTGTCTTCAACGAGATTCAGTATAAATTTATTATATTCCATGACACATTTATTCTCTAAGAAAAGTCTTATTCCATGAGGACATAACATAAAAAACCGTGATTCAATTAATGCAAGTTCATATAGGGTTTAGCGCTCGACTTACGCATGACATGAGGGAGTGGATACTAGCGACATCAGCGCTTACGGCGTCGTAGTGTTCAACTTCACGTTGGCGTTTTCGTTGCATTTGTACGGATTTACACCCGTGTAGCCTAAAGAAATTTTTACACCCATATCACGCCTAAAGAAGTTTTACTTCAAAAACGTTATTCAATTAATGCAAGTTCATATAGGGTTTAGCGCTCGACATGACATGACGGGAGTGGATACTCGCGACATCAGCGCTTACGGCGTCGTAGTGTTCAACTACACGTTGGCATTTTCGTTGCATTTGTACGGATTTACACCCGTGTCGCGCCTAAAAATTTTTACACCCATATCGCGCCTAAAGAAGTTTTACTTCAAAAATGTGTAACGATCGAACTCATTTACATATTAATAAGATATTATTGAAACATATTTAATCAATAAATATAGTATGAATAAACGCAGATTTTATATTTATTAAAATAAATTTTATATTCATTAAAATAAAATAAAAAAATCAAATATTTTAACATTGGTGACACTGGTGATTATTATATTGTCTAGGCTGGTTACTTCCGCACAATGGCGCTATTAATTATATTTGAAATTATGTTCTTATATTTACTAAATGTTCTTACGACAGTTGTAAATTTTGTAATAACTTAAAAATAGATCAAATTATACTATTACCACAGTGTACTCATATTTTTATAAATTTAGAATAAATCATTACTATATATGTATAGTCCAAATAAGACTTTTGTGTAGATATCTAGAAAATATATCAAACTGAGTGTTACACAGATTCACTTTTTTAAATCTGTAATAACCACAAAAAGAATATTGTAAAAAATATTTTAAAAATTTGTTATGTATTTTATTAGTTATATGTAGTAGTTATGAATTTTTATAAAATTTCTTAATTTTCTTAAAATACATCTTAACAAAAAAAATTTAGTAATTATCCATATGTTAGCATTGTTAAAAATTGAATATAAGCTTTTAAAATATCTTATGAACGTCGACGACACGATATGTTTTTTATTGAAACTTTTCCTTGTTCTGGACCATCTATATCGTCTGGCGTATCGCACATAGGTCGTCCTTTCGTTTCAGGAAGTAATAAAACCAATACTGCGGAAATAAATGCAAATACTCCACAAAAACCTATAGGAAATTGCCAAGCAACATCACCCTGCAATTTAAAATATTTAATAAAATTGATCAGAGATTCATCAAATTTTTTCTTCGAGAAGCTAAAATTATAATTACCAATAAATCAACTATGTATGGTGCCGATATTGACCCAACATTTGCCATTGTAGAACTCAACCCCTGTGCAGTACTTCTGTTCGAAGTAGGAAATAGTTCGAGTGTATGCAAAATAACTACTGCAAATACTGCACTCATGAATAAACGACCAATAAGTGAAATTACCATTAATGTATAAGCATAATCTAAAAAAAAGATTAAATATTGGATACAAGATATTGAAAATTTTATAAATAGCAAAAACAATTGATATAGCTTTTACCTAAACTGAGAGATAGAATTGGTATGAAACACGCCGTAGCAGACATAAATAATAGGAAGTTTATAATTCGGCGTCCACAAAATCTGAAATTAAACACAAATATTAATCCAGCAATAATATTTTTTTTAATATTTTATTTTATCTTATCATACTTCAGTAGCGGCAAAGGTATGAAATAACTTATACATTCAAGCAATCCACTCATAATGCCGTATATCATTTTCTCGACAGGCAAATTAATATCGTTTATTGCTGCAATAATAATCATTTATTAAAAACAATAATTAGTATGCCATTATTGTAGATACTAACCCATAGCATAGTAAACCGAGAGCACTTGAAAACCAAGTAACAAGGCAAATAAGTAACCTATGTCTCATTCTGTATGCTTAAGTATATCAGTTTCTCCACAAAACTATTTTTAACTTTCTGCCAGCAAGATTGTTTTTTGTTACACCATCTGCTTGAGTACTTGTGGCAGGAGTCGCTGATGCAACATTATATTCATATTTTCTGCCAAAAACTATTTTGGCAGCTTTTTTACTTCGGCCTTTGTTGATGACCAACGTGGAGATTCGGGCAATAACCTGGGATTAAAATATTAAATTATATGTATTATGTCGATTTAAACTTGATGTTTATACTAACCAGCAATGGATTAATAGCAAACAGTTGGTATAGAGGTTGCTAATTGGAGTTGTCTCCATGGTTTGAAAAATAATAGGCACAAGATATTATAATCATTCCGATGGCGTATGATAAATTAATTACTATACTCATCCATCCTCGGTGCTTAGGACCAGATATTTCACTTACTGAAAAAATAATTTAAAGATATATGAATATATATTATAGATTTATAGTTTGTATTATTAATGGTTGTTATGTATTTACGGAGCGTGTAAGCAGTGTTGTATGCACCAATTCCAGATACTCCAACAAGGAATCTCAGGAAGAAATAGAGAGAAGAAAGTCATTTACTACTGCTTGCAAGGGAGCTGTTTATAATAAAAATAATACTGCCAATTATTATGGATAGCTTGCGCCCATATCTAAAATATTTAAAAATAATTTTATTAAGATTATAAGTTAAAAAATTAAAAAAATGTAACATTTTCAATATTTGATTTCTGTATGAAAAAGAATTTTGTTATTTACTTATCTGCAATAACTCCAAAATATAATGCTCCGGCAAATTTTTCCTATACCCAATGCAGTGGTGATAGTTGATCTCAAGTACAATCTTTCACAGACTAAATCCACTAAAAATTGTAATTATGATAAAGATTTTATTATATCCTATCTATGTATATATATAAACGATCGTGTCACGATGTTGGTTCGCGATGGACGCCCAAACCACTGAACCGATTTTAAATTTTATTGGCTCATCGTGTGCATATATATCCAACTTAGTTGATAGGCTATTTTAAAAATTGCATTTAACATTAATAATGTATGAAATACATTTTTAATAAATTTCAATAAATTTTGACAGATCGTTACAGAAAAAAACAAAGCACTAACTAACTTTTAGTGCCAATATTTATGGAAACTGAGAAAAAACGATTTATGATTTTTGAAAGAAAATTGACAGTACAAAAATTATAATATTTATACTATAATTTTAGATGCGATCTTTAATCCAATTTATGACATTTTTTCAATTGTTTTAATTTATTTTTAATTAGCATCAAAAAATATAATTACAATATACAATAAAATGAATGTCTATAAATAATACGTCACTACAAATAGGATATAACCATGTATAACGCATTTATAAAAGTCACTTGGTTATTCATTATAAATTTTGTAATGTGCTCATTTATTCAAAACTTTAATAATT